ATGTGATTGGCCAGTGAGAATGCGAGGGGAGTAAAAGATAGAGTGGGAGGTTTTGAAAAGTCAGTTGAGGTTTGGGAGTTGGGAGTTGAGGTTTGTCAGTTGGCAGTTGAGGCTCTGGTGTTGGAGAAGGAAGAGGGTGGAATAGGCAGTGGGTTGGTCGAGTTGTATTGTGAGAGAGTGAGAGGAATTGTTAGGGAGTTAGATAGATAGTTGGGAATAATTCAGTTTGAAGTTGTTAGGAACTTAGATTTAAGAAACTGACAAGAGAAAAATAAACCGAAACCATACGCTTATTCCTGCACTTAAAAATAAACTTCATTATTTGCTTGTGTTAACAACTGTCTGGACTCTGTGTGTCCCCGTGAGAAGTGGGGTGGTGGCAACGAAGAAAGCAGCTGGCAGGGAGCTCCGAGCCTGCCCGAGGGCTTTCCGCCCAGTGCCTCTCACCCCCTCCTTTATCCGAACTCGGGGGTGATTTATGGCAACCGCGGGCGAGGGCAGCATCTTTCCAATTCCCTGGAAAGATGAGGGAGACTGATTTACTCCCCATAATCAGCCTCTAATTACCTTGTGCAAGCTGGACAGACGGTATTGGCAGCCATCTTCCAAGGTGCCCCTAGTGGCCCCCCCGGGTCCTGTAACTTTCAACCTTCCTGTCTGCTATATATGCTTCCCCATTCTGATGTATTCATCAGAAAGATTACTTGATAATGCAAGAAAAACTTAAACTTAATTATAAAAAGACAAATGTTTTGATTTCTGCCAATAGGTTAAAAAACACAAGTGGCAACTTGAGGAGCACCTCACTCACTGATCTGGTGAAATCTTTTAAATAACTAGGTTTATGTTTTTCAATTGGAATAAGCACTTTGTAAATACAATACATTGGGGATTAATTCAGTCAACTCTCTATCAACGTCTGTTGAGAAGGGTGTATACAGATTTCCCCAGCCCTCAAAACCTATGAAGTCAAAGTCACCCCACAAATCTGTTATGGGGTACAAAAAATGGGGATCTCCCCATAAGCGGAATTTGTAAAACCAAGGAATAAAAATATATGCACTATCTTAGAGCTGCCCAAAGCTTCTCCTTTTGGAAGTTGTCAGCTGTGCCAACGTGAACAATATAGGGGTGAGGGGCTAGTTAGCCCCGCCCCACCCAATCAGTCACATGATGTGGTGCACACATACCATCTGAATGGCAATGCCCATCAACTTTGGGGGGGGGGCAGCTCCCTCAGACAATTTATTGGAGGACCCCTTGCCCCCTAGGAGTTGGCTCCTAGGGAAGCTGGTGTTTGCTCAGTCGTCAGAGTGCATATCCTTTCCCTTAGGAATTTCAAAAGGAGGTGGAGGTTTCAATGAGATGCTGACTTATAACAGTGGGGAGCCTCTAGCTAGGTATAAGGAAATGCTACACTTTATTGATGAGTATGAATGTGCTAGCTAGTGAGATGGCACCTTGCCATATGAAATCTCATATTTTAAAGCATTATTTCTGTGCTCATCACACTTCTGCCTGTCTTGTCAAATGTGCTCCTTGCTAAGGCTGGCCCAAGACATGTTGGCAGCTGAGGCAAACCACAAAATAGTACCTCCCCATTCCAGGGAAAAAGGGGTTAAGTGAAGATCGACATCAGGAACAATGTGAGGGTGAGGAATAAAGATCTCCACAGGAAACATTTCACATAGGGACCTGCAATCTCAACCCCATTTAATCTGTGGCCCGGTAGCAGCAGGAATCCAATATGGGTATGACTTTCAGATATCCTCATAGCTTAGGAACCTGTCTGTACCGACCTATCAGCATTTATTTACCAAAGCCAGACTAAATGTATTTCCTTCAGAAGTGCTAAATGGTAGACTGAGAGGCATCACTTATCAGAATAGGCTTTATGTCTTCAGGACATCGACTGCATGAAGCATATCTTACTGCATTATGGGCAGTACGAGCAAGCAAGGGACCAAATGATCAAACCCCTACCAGCAAATCTGCCGGAAAAATCTGAAGCCTGCCATATTAAATACCTTTTGGATAACAGGTTTGATGATATTACACTGGCCATGGCAAAGTTTCTTTGGGAAGTCAAATGAAACAAAGATCATCAAGCTCGAGACAAAACAAAATGACCACCTCAGTTTCTCTCTCTCTTTTGTGGTTGTCTGTCTTAACTGTATTATCTTCTGAAATTGTTCTATAGGTCTTTGGACCTCAATAAAGATTTTTTATATATATAGATATATATATATCCACAGGAAACAAGGACTGGAGGAGACTAGCAGCACCTCCTAATGGCCAAGGATAAGCATCGAGGACTCTCCATCAGTTTTATGTAATTTATTTACAAGAAAAACACATGCAGAGCATGGCATGCCACAGACAAAACACAGCCTCTCTCTTCTCCTTCTCTCTCGCTCAGCCGACGAAGTCTGAAGCCTGCCTCCCCCAGTTCCTCTCTGGGCATACTGCCAAACCTTCGCGCTGAAATATCAGGAATGCCAGCCATCTTTAATGGCTGCCTGCCTGGCCCCCTACTTTTGATCCTTCGTTCCATAGTTGCAGAGAAGCCTGTACCATGCTCTCTAATGAGGAGGGGTGCATCCTGGCCAGTTCATCCACTACGGCCCCATGAAGCCCGGCTGGCTACACCGCCACGCGGGGCTTATCCCCCCCCTCCAGCTGTTGTCACCCCATCTTGAACTCCAACCAAAATTGCATCACTATTCTACTCCTCTGCCTCAAATTAAGCAATTGCCTGGAAGTGACAGCCAGCCTCTGGGGGTCTTGGAACATTGTATCCATGAACGCCAAAATCCCGCAAACATTGTATCCATGAATGCCAAAATCCCGCCTTTCTTCTCCTTCACTTCTGTTGCTCTTAAAGCTTCTCCAGTCTCCTCATTCAGGGACTGAATTGCTGGCCTGTATCTTCCCCAGAGGGATGCGGGTAGCGCTGTGGTCTAAACCACTGAGCCTCTTGGCTTCCCGATCACGGGGTGAGCTCCCGTTGCTCTGTCCCAGCTCCTGCCAACCTAGCAGTTCAAAAGCACACCCGTGCAAGTAGATAAATAGGTACCACTGTGGTGGGAAGGTAAACGGCGTTTCCATGCGCTCTGGTTTCCGTCACGGTGTCCCGTTGCACCAGAAGTGGTTAAGTCATGCTGGCCACATGACAAGGAAAGCTGTCTGTGGAGAAACGCTGGCTCCCTTGGCCTGAAAGCGAGATGAGCGCCACAACCCCATAGTTGCCTTTGACTGGACTTAACTGTCCAGGGGGCATTTACCTTTTTACCTTTCTTCCCCAGAAGACACAGCCTCAGACTCTGGCTTATCTGATGGTTGCCTGGCTTCCAACTCTTCCTCTCTTCCTCATGAGAACAAACAGATTATTCCCTGGGGAAAAGGGGGTGGGCTGTCCTCTCTAAACTCAGACAGCTCGCATCTGCAGAGTTAGCCCTTTGCTAGCTCAGCTCAATTTCTGAGACTGACTGTCCTGCTATGCTCTGGGGGGCCATGTTCCTGACGACCCCTATCAATCCAGCCACCTAAGATGGTCACCACACCTTGCCTCATGGGTGGGACCATCCTGCACCTTGATATGCCAAACTACACATTCAACACCATCACTATGTAACCAGCATCACAAATACCAAATGGGGGAAAGCATTTACAGCTCTGTGACTCCAGTGTATGAAGTCCGTCTTTTTGAAGGATGCTATCACCGGATGCCCTAGGTATAAAAGGTTTGCCTACATGGAGATAGAGGTTCCTAAATATCTACCCAACTACTTGCTGGTTTGTCCCATCTATGAGGACTTAGTATAGTTAAAGCTATGGTTTTCCCAGTAGTGATGTATGGAAATGAGAGCTGGACCGTAAAGAAGGCTGATCAACGAAGAATTGATGCTTTTGAATTATGGTGCTGGAGGAGACTCTTGAGAGTCCCATGGACTGCAAGAAGTTCAAACCTATCCATTCTTCAGGAAATCAGCCCTGAGTGCTCACTGGAAGGACAAATCGTGAAGCTGAGGCTCCAATACTTTGGCCACATCATGAGAAGAGAAGGTTCCCTGGAAAAGACCCTGATGTTGGGAAAGATGGAGGGCACAAGGAGAAGGGGACGACAGAGGACGAGATGGTTGGGCAGTGTTCTCGAAGCTAGCAGCATGAGTTTGACCAAACTGCAGGAGGCAGTGAAAGACAGGAGTGCCTGGCGTGCTAAGGTAGATGGGGTCACGAAGAGTCGGACACGACTAAACAACAACAACAACAACAACAATGAGGACTTAAGAGAAGTTTTGTTCAACTGAGAGATAGATTGGGTATATGATTAACTTTTTATTAAGGGACAAGTGCCCATACACCTCTGAAAAAGTGGTCTGTTCTGCTTTTACAGTGACGATTAAAAGAAGGAAAAATTATTCTGCGTTTATCCTGTTTTATTTATTTCATATTTTGTAATTGCTTCAGCTAAACCAACAAATAATAATTGCATTTGTATCTGAAACAGAACTAAGAACCAACATTTTATTTCCCATAACCATTTATTTTGTTTTGTAATGATCATAATAAAAATTATTTGTTAGTGATACACTAGAGGGTTCTTTGTAGTTAGAATCTACAACCCACACATTTTTGACCCATTTTTCTCTGCCCCTTGCTTCCCTTTACCCCCACCAAAAGCAAAATAGAAAGATCCACAGATCCTGAGTCCAGGATTTCACCACTAGGCCTCCAGTTCCCCCTCACTGCCATGGATTTTGCAATGCACAAGGAGGAGGTCTACACTGTCCTATTTACCCTTCATGTTCAGGCTGGTGTGAGATTCCTGAAGCATTATAGCATCTTTTTTGGGTAATAAAAAGGGCTAATCCGCCAGATCCAAGTCTTCTTCTGTGGATGGCACAAAAATCTGTTGTTCCACAGCCTTGGAACGTGAAATCGTGGAGCTGTTTGGGGGCTAGAAGAAAAGGAAAGAAATGTTGACATTAGTCCTTTACCCAGGTACTAGGAGATTGTGCTTGTGAGGCTAAATGACAATTTTAGTTAGTTTTAAAATGTGTATATTTAAGAAATCTGAAAAATATAATTTCATTAGAACATGAATAAATAAAATTTTCAACATGAAGTTTGGATAAAAATAAACTCATATGTAATTCAGAATGGCCATCATACCCAAAGGAGTCTCAAGATTATTAATAAACAGTTTATCTGTCAGGCTTCAGGAAATCAGAAAAGAAGGGGGCAGCTCCCACCATTCCTCCTCAGTCCAGCCTCTGACATTATATTTATAAAATATAATGAAAGTAGAGAATCTGAAAACAGGCCTAATTAACTAGATTAAGCAGATCAAATTCTTGTGTGCAGCTGAGTTGCAATAAAATGGGAGGAACTCTATCCCTGCTATCTCCTGGGCAAGTTAAAATCACATGCTGTGGCCACACAGCAAGATTTGAAAACAACACTCCCTCCCTGGTGTGGGAACCTTGAGTGTTTTAACCTGGCATGAGACAACAGTGTGATGCAGCGACACACAAACAAAAAGCTGGAGATGCACTTCATTGTCTCTCAGGATGGTTGGATGCCCACTGAGGCTTCCTCATTGCCCCACTGTGATCTAAGCATCCATAGAATCCTCCTTTTATTTTACAAGTTTCCAAGAGCAGAAATTCTGGTGCACAGAATTAGTTAGCCAGATACTGCTCATTGTCACAGAATTTAAGAAAACTTGTTACATGCCTTTTACATAATAAATGTGCTTTTTGAGCAAGGGGGACACATTTTGTCCTCGACTGCAACCCAATGGTGGACAGATCCAGATGCAACTGGGGTGAAGCAATGAATGCACTTTTTACTTTTGTTCAGAAGGGTGTTTTTAACAACAACAACAATAATAATAATAATAATAATAATAATAATAATAATAATAATAATAATAATAATTTTTATTTATTTATACCCCGCCCTCCCCAGCCAAGGGGAATACTCCTTCTGGACAAGCAAGTGGCATTATGAGAGTTAAAGGACACAGTCCAGGCAGGCAAAACACTAAGGAAGGGTGCAGAATGGGGCCAGTTAGAGATGTGGACCCTCTCACATTTCTAGTAATATGCAAGGGAAAGGGAAGGGAGGGGGAGCATAGGAGAACAGGGGTGAGTCTGTGTGACCCATCCGATGACTAGGCCCTTTCCCCTGTCTAAGTAGCAATGTTACCTCTAAAAGAGATCCTTTAAAAACAACACACTGGGTCTCATTCTCAAGGCAGTTGATGGTCTTCTCACTTTTACACTGTGTGGTTCCTTTGGAGAAGCAGGCTGGGCACTTCAGGCCATTTTCAGCCAGCACGTTGCGATCAGAAACTGCCAAAATCAAAAGTATAGTGAGCATGTTAATGGTTTTACAGTGGTACCTCGGGTTACATACGCTTCAGGTTACAGACTCCGCTAACCCAGAAATATTACCTCGGGTTAAGAACTTTGCTTCAGGATGAGAACAGAAATCGTGCTCCGGCGGCACGGCGGCAGCTGGAGGCCCCATTAGCTAAAGTAGTGCTTCAGGTTAAGAACAGTTTCAGGTTAAGAACAGAACTCCGGAATGAATTAAGTACTTAACCCAAGGTACCACTGTATCTGTTTTTGTACCTGTATGTTATATTATTGTAATTCACCCAAGGGCTTTAAAGTTTTGGTGGGGCACCTGCAAGTATTATTGGATGAAAAGATTATCTAGACCCAGTCTGGGTTTAGGATTGACAATGGGACAGATTCAGGTAAGGCCTGGTTGGAAAGGTAACCCATCCCTTCTCAGGCAGAGATGTAGCTGCCCAGTAGGTCCCTCTTCTTCACAGTTTCTCCTCATGCCTGCTTCTTCGTCCTGCCTGCCTCTCCACGCCTTGAGAGGCCCTAATAGTGCTGACCTGCTCAACCCATATAGCCATCTGGGGCTGTCTCACCCCTTTTGAATGAGGCCCAGGTCCTCTGAGTACTGCTGGTTGACTACGGATCCAGTCCTTGGCCAAATCCAATGCAAAGCCCTAACATGTTGAGGATTTTAAAATTATACAGAAACTTACGGCTGAGAGTTGCATTGTTACACAGTTCAGTCTTGCAGCAGAACTGCTTCATCTCAAAGAATTTACCATCCCCTGCAGTGAAGCTGTAACTGCCTGAGAAACAATCATCGGATGATCGTGCATTGATTCAAAAGTTGCACTCGGTGTCCCACTATGAAAAAGAAATTGAAAGAAATATCTAGATCTGGGAAAAATATTCAGGACCATTGCTCCTAAGGCACATTCATTGTAATGGTTCCAATTTTCTTTGATACCTGAATCAGGACCTTTTCAAACTAACAATATGGAAAGTATTATTAAATTTGGCAATCAAAAGTAAGGTGCTGTTTGTTTGTTTGTTTGTTTGTTTGTTTGTTTGTTTAAATGCGTGTGCACTGCTATAACATAAGAGGAAAAAATATCAAAATGTTTTTCATACATTTCATACATACCGTATTTTTCACTCCATAGGGCGCACCTAGTTTTATTCCGCTCCCCCCAGCCCCAAAGAGCAAAGAAACGAAGACAGCCAGTGGGATCCATCCCACTGGCTGTCTTGGATTCCTCTTTAGCCATGCACAACCTCTCCAGCCGGGAGAGGCTGCGTGGGGCTTCGATTTTAGCCGTGGGGCTGGGGCGGGGGAAGCCCGAGCTTCCCCCAACCCCAGCCCCCAGAACAGGTCCTGGAGCGGAGACAAAGTTGCGCAGCTGCCCAAAGCCCGCTCACCGGGCTTCGGGCTGCAGGCTGCTGTCCGCAAGCCTTTGGAGTCCGGCGGGAGCTCCCACCATGCTCTGAAGGATTGCGGATAGCTTCCTGAAGACTGGAGAGCAAGAGGGGTCGATGCGCGCCCACCCCGCTCGCTCTCCAGGCGTGCGCGAAAGCCCACGTTCGCTCCATAGGACGCACACACATTTCCCCTTCATTTTTGGAGGGGGAAAAGTGCGTCCTATAGAGCGAAAAATATGGTAAAAGATACAAGAAAAACCACATTAAAAGTAAATCAATAGATATCAATTAACCAGTGTGGAAAGATCTATTCTTAATGTTCTGCATAGCCCAGGTGGAACAGAATAGTCTTCTGCAGGCATTTATGAGTTCAGCTCTCTGCCACAAGCAGTAGTCTCTTGCCTCATTAATCCATAGGACCAATCTCTTTTTTTATGTTTGCAATTAATTTGTATAATGCTTTAAATTTGGAATGTATGCAGAACTTCATTTCACATCAAATTTCAAGCACGAGGACTCATGCCTTCTTCTATACATCTGACAATACATGTGCCATACACTGCACTCTCTCTGCTAGTCGATCATAACAGTTTGTAGGGTGGGGGAAATGCTTCCCTGAACTCCTGTTGCCCAGTGCAAGACACTTGGCAAGACACTTGCATTGCACCAGCCTTACTGCCCACTTGCCCCTCTCCCTCCAAGAATGTACCAGTGATGTTGGAACAGATGGTCAAGTGAGCACCACCATCCCACCCAGGATTGCCCCGAGGCATTTTGGCGCCTCAGACGAACCAGAAATGGCACTCATGTCCTTCTAGGTAGAGGGGGTGGGTGAATCAGGATCAAGCAAGGGGATCAAAACAACCTTAACCAATGTTGAAGTATGAAAGAAGTTCATCAGGTTGGAGGGCCCACACTGAATCAAGCTGGGTAACTGAAACCCTTTTTCATAGGTGAACTACAAGAATACTCCCTTAATGTTGGTTCCTTCCTAATCATTTCATCACTGAGAGTTATTTCAAAATTACTTGAGGGGGAGGGGAGCCATGAAAGTGTGAAGCACCTTCATTTCCCATCCCAATTGCTCAGCTTTTGATTAGTTTTTTTATAGATCTGTGAAAGGAGTCTCTATTTCAATGTTATTTATGGCAAAGGGGATATTCAGGTTATATTCTAGGCTTATTGTCTCGTTTGATAACTAAAACTAAATTGGAGTCCATTGGTTTGGGTCAATGGGGATTTCTAGTTAATGCAAATCAAGTTCCCCATGCTTGGAGATAAGCACCCAGATTCAGCCACTGGTTGTGAGCAGGTGATGTTAGATTCCCCATTTTCAAATGTAAGCCATTCCTTACTTCAGGATGGGAAGCTGTGATCCTCCAGATGTTGTTGGACTGCATCTCCCATCATCCCTGACTGGTGGCCTGGCTAGCTGAGGCTGATGAGAGTTCTAATTCATCTACAGCTGAAGTGCCACAGCTTCCTCACTTCACTTTTTCATAGGTGAGTTGCCCCAGCGTAGACTTCTATAGGCTATTAGAACCCTTAAAGTTCAACTATCTTAACCTGGATCTAATCAAACAGTAAAAGACAAAAAAAATCAGGCAAATCTTACTTATATTTGTACGCAGAACACTGGCCTCACAGGAATCTTTATCGGAGTCACAAGTTGTTTCAAGATAGCTATTGTATGTCATTCCAGTCTTGTTATAACTATATCTGCAGTGCAGAGGTAATGCTGAAGACAGAAGCAAAAGTTTACTTCATGAATTATTAATTATTATTATTATTATATCATTAACATTATTATTAATTGGTTTTGCAGTTTGCTAAGTGACACACAAAGGAGGAGGTGAGAGTCAATTAATACTTCTAAATTAAAAGGGGTTCAATTTTAAAAGCATTTTAATAGAATAGAATAGAATGAATAAAACACTCATTAATTAAAACTCTTGAAGCCACTGCCCAGAATACCAGTTAAATTATTTCCAAGAGGTGGGGAGGTGAACTCCCCCTTTCCCATGGCCAACCTTCCCCCATCCAGACTCTCACTTAAATATATTTTCTTCCCACTGTTTGGTTACAAACTTACATCTTAGCACAATTAAACTATGGAATTTTCTACAAGAGGTAGTCAATGCCACCAATTTGAATGGCTTTAGAAGGGAATTAGACAAATTGATGGAAAATAAGATTCTCAGTGGCTACTAACCATGATGCCTATGTACTACCTCCAGTATAAAAAGTTGCATATTTCAGATATCAGTTGCTGGAACTCAGAGTAAGCCAGAGTGTTGTTTCATGAGGTCCTGACTGTGAGCTTCCATAATCATTGGGATGGCCAGTGTGAGGACAGGATCCTGGACTAGGGATGAACCAATCTATCAATTTAACTTACTTTCAGTTTCTATTTTTCCGATTTATTTTTTTATCTGCATCCACTTCCTCCAAGAAGCTCAAGGCTGTGTACAT